TTGGATCGATCGCTCGTAGCATGGTACACGATGCGATGCCATCGGACGGAGAAAAAGAACCCGGTGGAGATGGCTACACAAATGTAAGCGGCGGCGCGCCTCGTGCGAGGGTGAGTTTTCTGGGTATTGCTTGTTGATGGAGATAGATAATCTAGGGTGTATCTATTCTATCTTCTGAGGGCTGGACTCCTGTTGTATCGAGATGGGGGATTTGGGGTTTTGGAGTCTTTATAGATGGGGGGAAAGGGGGGTTGATGTAGATCCCAATAAGTCGTCAGTGAAGACTCAATGTATTGTTTCCTCGTATCTCTCAATTATTGAAATTAGATCCCTGGAGACAGCATCGTGTTCTTGTCTGGATGTTCGGATTTTTGTTCCTCTTCTGCGTTTTGCTGTCTGATAATATTCATTTCTTTGGAGAGGGGGGGAAGGGCGTTTGAACCAAATTGATCTGGGCTTGTAAAACCCGGTCTTCCATTTTTATAGCTCGCATATAAATACTTGGGTTTTCATTTGTTTTCAAATCATAAGTCCATATGACTTGTATAACACTAGTAGCCACAGCGACAAGTACGACAGCCAACTCTCGCCAAAATCCCTTGCACACCCCAAAAGGGCGAAGGAGGCCGAAAAGCCTCCAATGGAACCAATTCCAGGAGATGAGATGGTTTCCGAGCTTCGACTGGCTCTGCTAAAGCCGCCGAGACAATAGGCCGGGGAATCAAAACAAAGGAGAGCTTAAGCGAGGCGAGCGCGATGGGGGATAACTAGCTGCATAATTTTTCGCTAAGGTAGACAGAGTGTACAAGGCGATTATGGAAAGGGGGCGAATTGGAGAGGTTGGTTTTTTGAGAAGGAAATCAATTGTCGGTGAGGAAATGCTTCCCACGCACGTGTTCGCCTTTTAGGCTCCATTGAGATGCACTGTCTAGCCCTGCCATTGGTCGACGCTAGGAAAAGAGATTTCTTGCGATCTCCGATTTTTTGTTTTGGATCCTGCGAGTGTGTTTGAATGAAGAATCAGTGATGCTATCTGTATTGGTTGGTATGAGCTAGTTGATGGGCGCTCGGCTTCGGCTTCTTTGGCTTTCCTTAGCTCCTGTCCTGGGCCTCATGGGCCTCATGGGCCTCGATGTGGTTTCATCTGAGGATGTTCCTAACATTATCTCGCTGGATGTCACCAAGTGATGGCACGAACATTCACCTTGAGCATATTTTGAGAGTACCACACATTTTCCCATCCTGGATTTGGTGGAGTCCTATGGGGCGCCGCTAGAAGCGAAGTCTAGAACGGAAAGGCCGCGAGGAGCCCTGGATTGAAATGAACGTTCAAGTCTCTTTCATCACTTCCATGGAGGTAGAAGAAGTCAAACTGAATCGCGCAGGATGCGTTGTCTTTGAACTGGTACCCGCAGGCCAGTCCATGCAGGTGATGGTTATCGTTTGCCCTGTCCAGCTTCTCTAGCGATTTCCACATCCGCGGATAGGGATAATGAATTCCATGCGTCCACTCCAGTCCACTGCTGCTTCGGAGACCTGAGCCGGCATTCTCTTAACGATCATCTTGGACTACTGACAGGGCCCGATGATACGCTCTTGAGATACGTTGCTTGTAGTGTGATGGGTTTTGCTGCTTCTTGTGGCCACTGGATTCCGGAGTGGAGAGCGATGGATGATGTTGAGGAGCTGAATTCATCATCATCAGCTGGTTGATCAAAAAGAATTATACATATAAACTCTCCTATGTGACGGACTTTGCAGGAACATAGTGTCAGTCCCATAGCAGAATGACTTCTGTATAAAACTGAATTATAGCACCACTTTTGGACAGGAAAACACCGTGTTAATCGAACAAGAGGTCCAAAGGTAATAGTAATTTACTTACGGTGAGACAGACATGGAGTTTCCAAGCTCAGCAGGATTAAAGAAAATGAAAAAACACTGTAGGACTGTTTTCCTTACTTGAGATGCACTCGCTGGCTATGGACTAACAGTGATTCGAGGCTTTGAGTCGTCCCACCTATCACTTCAAAAGTCTGGGATTCGCTGAGGACTCTACGAAAATCTATCAAGAGGGTTCCTACTAGAAATTAGAAGCGTCTCAATGAACAAAATTCAAAGCTTCTCCACACACTCGTCGAAGTCCAGATTCGAGTGATCTGTGAGATATATATCACGTGAGAATGCTTGCGAAGATTAGTTACATCAAGGAATCTCCTCGCCACTCCTGGATCATTGCCTTCCATAGAGATTTAAACTTGCAAATGCATTGTGACAAGTGCCTCCCAGCACTTGGTTGCTAAGCATTGTATCTTGAAACCCTCGATCTTAACGACCGGGATATCACGTGTGGTTTCCAAGCTAGATAAGCTCAGGCGCCGAACTTCCCGGAATAGAATGCTGCCTAGAGCGAACTTCCACAGCATCTAATCTCATCACACGAACAAGCGCTCAACGACGCGTGAGTAACACCCAGCGACGTGGTCGGTAAGGGTTAATAGTCGTCAAGAGATAAAAAGGCGTCTCTTTCCTCCATTTCCATTCTCTCCTAATCACCATCCCCTGCGGTTTTTTTTTTCAATATCAATACCCCGCAGATCCAGCCACAAGCTCATCTCTGATCTCGTTACGCGTTTCTTTCCTCATCGTCTCCAGACTTTGTGTTGTCGAAGATCTTCGAAATTTCATCGTCGATCTGCAAGATGGCCACGCTCGCCGCGTCCATGGATCCCATTGAGATTCCCGTCTTGCCTTCAGGCACGGTCAAAGACTTCATCCCATACCATACTAGGAACATAGACACACCATTCGGCACACTTCTTGGACCATTCAAGAAGTTTGAGAGTGAAATTTGCAAGGTCTACGCCCAACATTCCGATCACGATATCGTCAAAGATGGCAACGTCAATCTCGTTCCTATCTTTGCTGGCCACGAGCAAGAATCCAAGATCCGAGCACGATCATTGGTAGCCGAGTCCGATGAGGAGAATTCAAAGTAAGCAGCTCCCTATGTTCTACGCTCAGGTGGGCACATATAAAGGAGATGGCTAACTTGAACAAGGTTCATCATGGCCCTGAAAGTCGAGGAGCGGAAGCAAGACGGGTCGCCTGCTGTTGTCGGCTTCTTTAGAGACTTTCAGCAGAACTTCAACCTGTTTTAGTCATCCCTTATCGACCTCGATTAAAGTAATGTCGTGGCAGCTGGATCTGCCGTTACCACAGCTCTCCTCCCGATCCCAGAGAAGTGGGCAGGAAGCAAGGAGGGCAGAAAAGAATATTACTACGAGCACCTTACCCCGGCTAGTGACGTTGACCTCTTTTCTTCACAGTCTTAATCAAAAGGAGGGTTTGGAGAAGATCAAACAGATCGAGAGAAAAATCAAAGATTCTATTCTCCACGAGACTACGACACTTTACTTAGAAACGCTGTCATTGAAAACGACATGCAGCTGTTGAATTTTTTGCTAGAGATTGGAGCCAAGCAACAAGCGCTTGCTGCCGAGGAAGAAGATGATCAGACCTGCTATACCGGCAGCATTGTAGCTTTCCACACTCCAATCAAACGGGGAAGAACGATATCTGAAACGATCAAGGCAACTGGTGTTGGTCTCCCGCTTAATGATCTGATCAAGAAATGCGGGATTGGTATGACTAAACCCCGTTACTATCAAGGTTTGACTATTACAGGAAAGAAGAGAGCTGATTGGGCACGAGCTCCGGGACACAATGTGCAATGTTGAGGAGAACACACCCCTCTTACACGCTGCCCATTGGGCATCCATAGATTCGATCGAGTGGTTTAAGAGCGACGCGCCTTTACGAAGATAAAAAGAGTTTGCGGAAAGCAACAAGCATGACAAGAGAATCAAGACATTTGGCCAGTTCTGAAAACGAGTACGACAATACCATTGGGCAGTGGCTTGATGCAAAGAGTAAGTCCCCTTTTAGTACAAGGGGTATTTACTAACAAATCAATAAGTAAACTGGTTCTCCATTGTGCCATTTTGAACAATCCATCGAAGGATCAAGACAAGACCGCGTATCTCGCTCTAATCAGGCACCTTGTCTCCGTAGCTTCCGAATCTCTTGAGCAAAAGTCCTCGGGAGGCTGGACACCGCTTCAAATTGCAGTGCTCGCACATCAGCCAGAAGTCATCTCGTACCTGCTATCGGAAGGTGCAAATCAGCGACACCACGACAAGGCCGGCTGAAATGTTTTCCACAGCATGATTTTCCCTGAAAAGCCGGGAGGCGCCAAAACTGACCCAGAAAAACTCCAGAGTCTCATCAGCCTCTTTGAGAAGACCGCTGTACAAGAAATGCTCCTCGAGCGCTGTACTGAACGCCCGGGCGCACTTACACCTCTATCGTACCGGATGGCGGAGAGCGGCAGATCTCTCAAGAAACCAGACATCGTCAAGATTCTGGCTGAGCACTCGAATGGCGAGGATTTGGCGTTGATCAATGGCGAAGGTGATTTGCCGTTGCATGTCGTATTCAAACAAGCCACGCGCAGCATATCCTATTGCTTTGCGATCAATACCCAATAATTTGCATTCCTAATTGGTCGCTGCGAGCATACTTGAGAATTACATATACTTACCTATCTGGCTTCTACACAAATATCCTCGGCCATTGTTCCTCTGTCCTTACAGTCATAACTCCTATTTCTCTATTCTCACTTGATATTGCTAGTAGGCCCTCGGCTGCTGCGAAGAACGTTCGCGAGAAAACCCAAAAAAAAACACCCCACTGCTCCAAGACACTAAGCCCGGCGCCCGAAGTCTAAACTGTGAAATTCAAGAAAGTTTTCTCCAGATGATGTGCGGGCGCCTTGGGAGGCCAGCGGCGAACAGATAGAAAGCGGTAGGCGAAGGAAGGTCTGGTTTAGGTGTTACGTTTCTGTTGTGCCAAACTCTCGCAATTGACCATGAAGACTCTGGCCCCCCTAATTGCAGCGGCAGCGGCATTGTATGCCTCACAATGCCTCGCAACTGAGCTTCTAACACCAGAGAAGATTGAAGCGGGTGTTCAGACCGTAGAGCAAGTCTTCTTTTTACTCACCCTGTACCCTTGGTGGTTATACTGACCTAGGCATCAAGCCTCGAACGCAATCTCTATTACCTCAACCAGATTGCCGAAAACAACGGTGGCAACCGCGCCTTCGGCCTGCCAGGATACACAGCATCGTCGGATTACGTGCTCGAACGCATGCAAACGCAATTTGGGGACCAATTTGACACCTGGACGCAGAAGTTCAACCACACGTTTGAACAGACACGCGAGATCGCTGTGATCGGGCCTGCGGGGGAAAATGTGGATGTCTTGACGCTGTTGTACAACAATCCGACGCCAGAGGGCGGCGTGACAGCTGAGCTTATCGACACACCAGTGGATGATGAGAGGGGTAGGCGAGCCAGAACTTGCCATTCCGCGAACGTGGACCCAGAGAAAGGTTTGCTGATCAGGAAGGGGTAGGTTCCGCTTGTTTCGATGACCAGTGGACGAATATTGATGCCACCGGCAAAGTCGCCCTCATCAAGCGCGGCTCCTGTGCCATCTCCGACAAACTGAAGCTTGCCAAAGCCCGTGGCGCCCTCGCTGCCATCCTATGGCACAACTTGGACGGGACTCCCAACGGGGCGAGCCTCTCCGCTGATAACATCGGCCTCATCGTCCCCGTAGGCCTCGTCAACAAGACCCAAGGCGAAGCATGGAAAGCCCGCTTGACCGCTGGCGAGACCCTCACCATCACCCTCCTCGTAGACTCCATGTTCGAAGAAAGGGAATCCTGGAACGTGTTTGCTGAGACCAAAGAAGGCGACCCCAACAACGTTATTGTCCTGGGAGCCCACCTGGACTCCGTGCAAGTCGGCGCAGGTATCAACGATGACGGCTCGGGGACCAGCGGGATATTGGAGATTGCGACGCAGTTCCGCAAATACCAGGGGTTCCAGAACAAAGTTCGGTTCGCGTGGTGGGGGGCGGAAGAGAGCGGGCTCATCGGGAGTCTGCACTACACTTCTGGCTTGACGGAGGCCGAAGCGGACACGATCCGCTTCTACTTCAACTACGAGATGATCGCATCGCCGTCCCCAACCTGGGCCGTCTACATCGGCGACAACCCCGGCGACGCCGTCGGCGCCCAGCTCCTGCTCGACTACCTCGTCGCGGCGGGGAAGCCGGCCGCCTTTGGCAGCTTTGGCACGGGCAGCGACTACGTCGGCTTCCTGCAGCTCGGGATCCCCTCGTCGGGGCTCTTCATGGGCGCCGGAGCGCCAGCGGATCCGTGCTACCATCTGGCGTGCGACACGCCGGCCAACGTCGATGTGGAAGTGTTGACGCTGAATTCCAAGGCCGCGGGCTATGTGGCTGCCACGCTTGCGCTCAGTCTCGAGGGCGTGCCGCCCCGGAACCGGACGAGCGTCAATCGCAGGAGCAAGATGTTTCTCCGGCGGGAGTTCCAGAGGTGGGAGGCTGCGGCTCTGGAGGCTGCTGATGGACACATGTGTTCGCATAAGAGCAAGAATACGGTGTAGATTTTCCCTCCTGCTTGGTGTTGGTGAAGTGGGCGGAAGAAGAAGAATCAAAATAAATGAAAATGAAAACGAAAACGAAAATAATGAAGATGATAATCATAATGCAAAGCATATGATGATCTCTCAAGTCTTGACCACTAAGTCACAGAAAGTCTGAACAAAGTCAACGATGCAAGCGAGCGAGCGAGGCTCAATCTGTTCCACAACTCGCCTAATTCCATTGTGATCTGCACAGAGATCCAATACCACAACGCAGAATGCGCAACAATGTGGAAGAGCTTACGGGGTGAACTACGGAGTATTTATGAGTATACTATTCGTTATCTACGTAGTAATATTTGTCTACTTTTATGATAACCTTTGGCGGAAACTCCAGAGCTTCTCTGGTACATCGACACCCATAATTCGACACCCACTAGTTAAGTCGACACTATTCAATAACCAACTTCGATGCGGCCTCATAATCTACTCTATACAACCACCACCTTCAATCCTGTGATAATCTGCATGGCGTAGCTGTTTTGAGTATCGTTGGAAGTAGCGAGTTGGATTTCGTAGATTCTGGTTCTCGATAAAGTCCTGGGTTCGCAAAACAATTTTTGTACTTATTGAAGACCAAGTGCTTTACCGAGGCCTGGCCGCTAGAGCGGTCGGCACTCCTAGCCCAATTGGGGCAATGGGTATCGACTTAACTAACGGGTGTCGAATTATGGGTGTCGATGTACGTAGTACTACGTAGATACAACTACTACGTAAGTTCAAGTTCCGGGCCGGAACATACGCGAGGGGAGGGGAGGGGGGAGACAAGCTTTCCTGGACTGGATGGGTTCTGTTGGAAGTACCGGTATATCCTCTTCCTTTTGTCCGATGTTGTTGATTGCTGGGGGGTATTCGCGATTCTGGATCTTGATGATGGATACGGGAAGGATACACAACGCCTCGTGCCGGCAACGAAAGAGGTGGTGGCATCGATGATGCAAAGTGTGTTTATTTATGGAACCTCTCTCTCTCCCTCCCGGCCCCCCCCTCTCGCTCTTCAAACCCTTCTCAGCGAAAACCTTCTCCTCGGCCAGCCCGCATCTACAGACAGGGCTAGCAAATGTTGTTTCCTCGGTCCCCCATCAAAAACGCGAAGGATCTGCGAAAGGTCGGCGCATAAAAACATATTTTGATATATTGCCTTCGGGCTTCCGTCGCTCAATCCTGATACTACGTAATTGTTGAACGGTTTGCTTGATTCTTGTTCTAATCGGGCCATAATTCGAAATTTTATCTGCTAACAATACTTAGCGCCAAGACCTCGTGCTAACAACGCTAATCGACCTTAGTCGTTCAACATGCCCTTTGAGCAGAGTGCAACTTGAAGCTACTAAGTTACCTTTGATCTCGACCCGGATCTCCTACCGTATTGATCTCGAATTAGTAATCAAAAACTAGTATTGCCGATAAAGATGTATTCGAAAATGATATACTAGTACCAATATACGTAGTACTATCCGATACGACATATCCGACAAACGTTATAACCGACATAACCTTAATTCGAGTAAGAAATTCTTCGACACTAGTAGTACCTACGTCTGCTCACTAATTCGAAGAGTGAAAAGCGTTCGATAAGCCGTGTAAAAGGATCGTATCAGCAGCATCGATTCGAAGATCGCTTTAAAAATAAGTAAACATCTCCGTAGATTTCACGTCGTTGAATTCGGCCGCCGATCAATTGCTTTTGCCCGTGATTAATGTACTACGTAATACGTCAGCATGTCGGCAGCTTCAGCGTGCTTACCTTTCATTGCTTATTTCATCAGAGTTCGATTGAAAACGCTTTCGGCATCGATTGTCTAAGAATCGAGGCGGTATTTGCCGTTATCGTATAAATCGAGTTCTGGAAAGCGCTGATGATCGGAAGAAGATACATCGAGAGAAAACAGAGACGGGGTCCTCATAACCTGTTGAACGGTGTCTTTGGTCCTTGTTCTCATCTGGCTATAATTTATACTCTTATTCTGCAATAGCCCTAAGACCACGTGCCAGCGACGCTAACAGAACTTAACCGACTCTACTTACGGAGGCATGGAGTCGTTTAACAAGGATTAGGAGCTTTTGCAGCCGATGCAGCTCGCCGCCGTTGCCTCGTCGCCGCTGCCTCGTCGCCGGCACGAGAATAACGAGTCGATCATCGAACACGATACTTAGCCCGCGACGCGGATGGCCAAGTCCACGTCCAGCAACCAAGGACTGCGGATATGAAGAAAGCTCATTGGGCCTGTCGGGACTCTCTCTCGTCTTATCAGCAAGAGTCTAGGATAGGAGGATTAGCGAGTTGCGTTGGAAGACATCACCTGCCTTGTACTGCACAGACTACCGGTACATCCTGTTATCAACGCCAAGTGCCAATCGGTGGCAAGAAAGCTTTTTGTAAAGCTTCAGGTCTTGCTTTACTCCGTCCAGTACGTATTGTACTATTTTCATTTTTTTGTGTTTAATTAACTTCAAGGACAGCTATGTGATTGAGTCTACGGTATCGGGATTCAGTTCTGCTTCCACAGCACGGTACGGTACGGTACGGTACATAGAGTACAGCTTCAGCCTGCCTACACTTGTGTACTACACTTGTGTAGGGCAGGTTCAAGCTCAGCCAACGCGACTCGGCGCTTGTTCGTGCTTCTTCGTTGGTTTCACGATCGCTTGGCTGCGTATGTGCCCCGGGGCATATCCCCATATCCTGGCAAGACGCAAGCAATTGACCGCCGGAGTTTGGATCTCTGTTTGTCGTCCTCCAAGCCCGCCCTTCTCTGCTCACCACGAACTTATCATGTACTGCCCGTTGGTTGTTGATTGCATCATACACTTCGTCGCGATCATGTCGACTTGCCAGCCAGGAGAGAAAGGTGTTGGGTGTTGGGTGTTGGGTTGTGGGTGTGTCTCAGGTGTTGCAAGTGCTAGTGCTACATGAGATGCGAGTAGGTACTAATCCGTAGGTACAGAGAGAGGTACAGCCGGTACGATTATTTTCTGCGAGCCCTAGAGTCCCAGGTCTGGCTCCCCCCCCCTTCCCCCCCCCCCTTCCCCTCTCCCCCACCTTCCTCATGTAATGATCTGCCCGAGAAGAGCAAGGGCCTCCTCGGGTTGCAAAAACAGTACCCACACTTGCGAATCACGGCAGCGAAAGATATCCTAAATCCTATAACTATAAATACCGCTTTTCCCCCATGGTCTCAATGCTGAGACTGTCTCTCTATCCATCAACCACATGACTGCTACCATTCGCCAAACATGTCGACTCCAGAACCGAACTCGATCATGTCCGATGGCCTCAACCCCGCCATGGGCAACGTCTCTGAGATCCCGACCCACAAGGAAATCCTCGCTATAAACGAGAAGAAACATTCAATCACTGACTCCGGGGTGGAGAAGGAAATTCTTGCGACAGGAGAAGTCGCTGTGGACGATGATTCAATCAAGGATAGCGACGACAAGGATCACATCATCATTACTGGCAGAGATGCCGCCAAATACCTTCTTCCTCTCCGTGACGATCACGAGTCGGCCTTGACCTTCCGATCCATCTTTTTGGCTACGCTCCTGTCCGGTTTCCAGGCAACCATGTACCAGATCTACGCGGTTAGTTGTATTTGCTGGGACACTACAGATCCAGCCCTAAGTCATTCCATCCCATACTGATATGCTGTAGTTCAAACCCACTTCGGTCACTATTCAGGGAACTTTCATCGTTCTGATTGCATACTTCGTTGGTAATGCTTGGGCAAAACTTCTTCCCCGTGGAGACCATCTCGAAGCTCGGTGGCGAGCAAAGGGAGGCGTGGGAAACCCACCTAGGTGGATCACTGTCGTTTCATTCCTTAACCACGGGCCATGGAACTTGAAAGAGCACGCGATCTGCTCGATCACTGCTACCTCTGCGTCCAACGCGGCTGCCAGTATCCAGGTATTCGCCGCTCAAGACATCTTTTATAGCCTGCCATTAAGCGCTACTACTGTCATTCTCACCGTCATTTCCATTGGATTGTTTGGTTACGGTGTCGCCGGTATGCTCCGTCCTATTTGCGTGTGGCACGTTGATGCCGTCTACTGGTCTACCCTCCCTACCGTCAAGACTCTCCAGGGTCTTCACTGGCAAGAGGTGAAGAGCTCCAAGCCCATGAGATTCTTCTGGTATGCTTTTGGCTCCATGTTTATCTACGAGTTCTTCCCCGCATACATCTTCCCGTGGTTGAACTCTGTCTCTATCCCGTGCCTCGCGGCCATGAACGCTACCGGCAGCAAGGCAAAGGTCCTCACGAATTTGTTTGGAGGATCGCTCAATAACGAAGGACTGGGTCTATTCTCCGTCTCGTTTGACTGGCAATACATCACCTCGTTCAACAGCTCGCTTCCACTAAAGCTTCAACTGAACGCTGCTATGGGATATGGTGTCTGCATCATTGCCATGCTGGCTATTTACTACGGCAACGGTTGGAATTCGAAGTCCCTGCCGTTCATGTCCACGCGTCTTCTCGCCGAAGATGGCTCGAAATACCCTCTGACCAAGGTCTTTGTTGGGGGCGTCCTCGATGAGGCTGCTTTGGAGCAGTATGGCTCACCGATAATCACTGGAACTTTCGCGTATGCCATGCTTATGGCCAATGCTGCTGTAAGCCTCTTAAAATCGCTGCTTGTTGACCTACGACTAATCCTTAATAGATCGGTGCTTTGGTTGCCCACTGCATTCTCTTCTGGGGTGGTGATATCAAGAATTCCTACAAGAGTGCCCGCAAGGGAGAGTATAACGACATCCACCACGCCCATATGGCCAAGCACTACAAGGAGACCCCGTGGTGGTGGTACGCCCTCGTCCTTGTGATCTCTTTCGTCCTTGGTCTCATCGTCGTTCTTACACAAGATGTCACCCTTCCGGCCTGGGGCTACATTGTCGCCCTAATCACAGGCATCATCATCGCTCCTTTCTCCTGCATCCTTTACTCACGTTTCGGAAACGGAATCGCTACGAACAACTTCTCCAAGATGTTGGCTGGTCTCATGATCCCCGGTAAGCCCGTGGGAAATATGTACTTCGCCGCCTTCTCCCACAACGTCATCAACAACTGCGTTGTTCTTTGCAACGATTTGAAGATGGGCGAGTACCTCAAGATCGCTCCCCGTACCATGTTCCTGACCCAATGCTACGGGACCATCCTCGGTGGTTTCGTCAACTACGCTGTCATGACTTCCATCGTCAGAGGGCGCCAGGAGGAACTTGCCAATACCAACGGTTCTGCCTCTTGGTCCGGCGCACACGCCCAATCCTACAACACCAACGCCACCACGTGGGCTCTGGCCAAGTACCTGTACAAGAGCGGCACCCAGTACAACATGGTCCCCATCGGCATGGCCATCGGTGCCGGCGTCGTGGCCGTCCACCGCGTCGTCGTCTACTTCCGGCCCCGGGTCGGCTCGTTCTCGCTGGACGAGATCAACTTCCCGCAGTTCATCCAGTACTCCGGGTTCATCCCGTACAACGCGTCCCAGACGTGCGTCATCTTCTCGCAGGTGCTCGCCGGCTTCTTCGTCCAGTTCTACCTGCGGAACTACCGCCCGCGCTGGTTCCGGGACTACTCGTACCTGGTTACCGGCGCGTGGGACGGCGCGAGCCTGTTTGCGCTGTTCATCCTGTCCTTTGCCGTGTTCGGCGCCGGGGGCGTCGCCAAACCGTTCCCCAAGTGGTGGGGGAATAATGTTGATGGGTACTATGACCACTGCCCGGTTACGGAATAGAGCTTTTCTTCTTGCTGGGTATTGTATTTGATGCTTGCGAGGGGCCGGAGGTCGATTTGCATGTAGATAACAGGCGCCTGTTTAAAATAATGATAATGATTATGCCATATATCCTATACCCTATGCATATCTATATCTATATCTATATCTATATAAGGCCTCAATCAGCAGAAAGACTGAGGCATCCATTCCTCTTCCGTGGCTAATGCCGCGTCGTACGTGGCTACGTCGTATATGCTGTTTGCTACGATCTGATCGGATATAAGTCTCTCTTTATATTCACTTCATTTGATTTGCTCTGATATGATGACTTCAGCTATGAAATTGATGGGAGGATAGGATAGGTAGGTAGGTAGGTTAAGTAGGTAATTCTAGCATCTGTGCAGTGGCTGCTGGCTGGCTGGCTGGTTCTGTATGTTCTAGTAAAAAGGGGAGGGGAGTTTGTGTATTTGTACATATACATGTTGGTGTTTTTGCCCTCGTAGGAGTAAGCGGGCTATGACCTTCAATGCTTTGAGAGACTGTCGGTAGGATACAAGATGAAGAAAGGCCTTTGGTCAGGTCGGATTGGGCTGTATGAAAATGGTAATCTCGTAAAGCTAGGAGATTTTAGCGTCGATCGATTGCTTGGAAGGGTTCTTTCTTTTCTTTCTTTTTTTCTTTTTCTTTCTTTTCTTTTTCTATTTTTTTCTTTTTCATTTTTTTCTTTTTCGTTTTTTTCTTTCTCATTTTCCTTTTCCGTGACCAACCAAACGAATGCGTTAGTATCGGACATCTAAAACGCCTCTCTTGCCCTTCCCTTTCATCGCCCTCTATTTTAAAGCTACGCTACGCCTTCCAGCCAGTCAAGAAGCACTTCTCTGCTACCCTAGACTCTTTCTGATCTTACAAGAGGATCTTGTCCGAGCACCAAACGGACGTATCAACAATCGATCGCTTCAACACGTACTCACACTTATCCCCTCTACTTGGAAACAATGCACGACTATTCTTACAACGACGACTCTTCAAACAACTCGTCAAAATGATCCCTTAAACAATTCGATAACCAACCTAGCAAACCCCATTAAGAGCCAAGAGCCCTATCTCTCCTATCAAGTTATAGAGACCCCAAATCACATAGACGAGCGACTACCCATGTCAGCCTCTAACAATGCCAAAGGAAGCTCCCGAACTAAGAATCTTGGTGGACAAGGCTGCAGCAGATAAGAAAAGGGCGCAAGAGCTCCACGAGAGATCGCCATAGGGAAAGCAAACGCGACCCTCGTAGCAGCTCTAGCCGTTATAGCAGATCTACATCCGACTACTTTTAAACGTGACTTTGATGAAAGGCAAGTTAACTTGTGACGGCCAAGGCGATTCTTTCCCCGACTTGATAAGTACCATTGAGATAAGAGAACTTGCCACTACCCCCCACCGAATTGCTACAGCCTGAGGGTGCCTCAAAAGTTTAAATCTCCACTCCAAACCCCCTGGTTATCCTACCCTCAAGAGTGTAACAATTACGCCTATGACGTTGTACTACCCCCCCCCCCCCCCACGAATAAATGTCGGACCTAGTTTAGCTCCATAGATCGTAGAGCGGTGATTTCTGAACGGCTTAAAGCCCTGTCAACTCCATTGCACAGACTGAATACTGGCTCAAAGATACTTTTCAAGGCTGAATGAATCCTTATACTACAACGGTAAGTTTTGATCGGTTTGAGACCTGGTAAGAGCCTTGCAAAATTATACTTTCGACATGTATTCATGGGGGGAGAGCACAACTACGTAGTACGTACAACGTACTATACTTGGTTCAGATCTTCCTTGGGAAATCTAAGCCCCCGTGAACTTGGTCCAGATTAGCTTTCAAGGCTTTCAATTGAGTACACAGAGGTACGTAGTACGTAGTACAACGGTGAAGTGTTGTAGCCCTTGCGACTCCACAGCCACCATTCTAACCTAATTGAGCAATAACCTGACCTTAATACAAAGTAAAGTACTATTACTCCGCAATGCTTTTCGAGATTCTACTTATAAGGTTCCGTGCTTAAGGTCAGGTTATTGCTCAATTAGGTTAGAATGGTGGCTGCGGAGTAGCAAGGGTTACAACACTTCGCCGCTTTACCTCTGTAAGGACCTCAGGAAGAGATCATTGATTCTGGAGGCAACAAGGTTCAAAGGAGTTCGTGTATATCCTGCATATGTATATGCTTGATACGCTCGTTAAAAGTGAGTACGGCTAGCTCGCTAGCTGGTATTGATCGCTAAGCGAGCTTTAGCCAACGACGGAGGGTACCTTGATTTCGTCATGCAGCTTCTGCCCCTTTTTCTCTGCTCGCTTAAGTTCTGACGCGGAATGGGAGCGAGAACTTCATTTATCGATTATTGACTTCTGTCTAATGGGGTCGGCTGGGACTTAACTGGATGGCTTTCTCGCGATGCTATTAGAGATGAGTGAATATTCTTCTCCAGATTGATGTAGCGTCTCAGCGAGACGGCTATTTATGATGGATGCTACGACTACGTACTTGAAGTTACATGTCTTGTGACCTAGATTGGTGGGAGAAATGCCTGTACAGCGTACTCCTGCAGAATATAGTGAATCATGAATTTTTGCCTACAGCTATCGAGAGGTGGTTATGTGTTGTTTAGACAGTCTCAATGGTCCGCACAACATGGAGAGTGACACGATATTTGTATTTTGAGTCATAAAGAGGAGTTGTATCATTCATATGATTGCGCCTTATACTTCGAGTTTCCCTTGTGTGAATCATAGACGGGAATGACGGGCATCTTCGATCCACTCGCATTTCAAGCAGCAACATTTAAGCTCCAATCACGAGCACTTCTGACCTCGTGGAGTTTCATGTGTGCCTAGCAGTTCGCCAGCTGCGCATTTTTCTACTCGCTTTTTCAATTTTTGGCCGCCTCGAGACTTATACGCTGACATGGAGAAACACCTCGTCTGCCTCAAAGGTCTCGAGAGTATGGCCACTGCAGTCAAGAGCTACACGGAAAAGGGTGATATCAGAAGAGCGACCGAGATAGACACCTACCTGAAGGAACTTATGGATTGCGTCCACGACAATTTCGACGAAGCTGAGAGGCCTCAATGTGTCATGGAGGAGGGCCCACAATTATGGTTCAGAAGAGAAGAATATGGCAACCTCGCGGAATGGTGGACCAAGGGGCAAGAAGCGCGGCTGGCTGGTGTTGACAGGGATGGGAAATTGGATGCTTTGCAGGCGGAAGTAGGAAAGGTCGATGAGGATAAGAAGTCTGCGAGGGGCACGCTCATGGATTCCGATGCCGTAGTCGACTATCTTAAATATGGCACCGGACCGAAAGTCGTGCAGACCCTACAGCTGTACGAAGACGATCTACAAGCCTGGGAGAACGTAGGCTGGAGGATTTTGGACGAGCTGGGCAGGATGATGAGGTGGATGGAATGCGATATTACTGAGGAGGTGCCCGAGGAAGCCGAGGTCAGGACTCTGTATCCGACGCCGCGAGAGTGGCTCATCTACGATGTGTTGCATGCGGTGAGGGAGTATCGACAGGCGCTGGCGACTTATGGGGATGTAGCAATGGATGAGACGGCGCAGGAGGCGATGGTGGCGATGCTACATAGGGATGATAAGCGTGAGGAATCGAAGACTTTCAAGAATCAGAAGGATACAGGAGAGCAATGGTCCTGCGAAGAATGCGAGCTTACTTTGCTGCCGCCACTGCCTGCGAGCCCAGAGGCCGAGGTTTCGTTCGAGGAGCAGCAGTGGATTGGGGATTCGAAGACGTTAGACCCGGACTTCAATAGGTGGTCGGCTCACCTATTTCAGGAGCTGTCGGTCTACCGCTACCACATTTCTAACGGCAAGATGCTGGACGAGAATGTTCTGATGAATGCCGGAATGATTGTTACTCTGGCCAAAGGCAAGTTCAAGGAAAGAGGGGATCCCCCAATAGACGAGCAGAAACATCTTCCTGTGCCCGGCAGCTGGATCGAAGAGGATCATGAGGACGTACGAGGTGACGACAGCGAGTATCTCGACTTGGAAACTTTTCCGGGAGAGTTTGGGGATGAGCGGGTCGAGGTCCTCGCGAGGAGCCTGAGGGCTTTCTGCGCTTCAATTTTGAGAAGTTTCGACCGAGCAGGGATCGATCAATATCTCCTGAGGGCTGCGAGAAAGCTAGTCGAGCAGGCAGGAAGGGGTGGTGGTGCAGGTCCTGGAAGAGAAGAGTATACCAAGATCTTGTCAAGGGAATTGCTGCATACAACGCCGGATATGGAGAATACCAAGACCGTGGCACTGTACACCAATATTGGTGCTGATGCATCAGAGTTCGCAGAACACGGAAGCGGCCTCGACGACCGACTCATGGCTGCCTCCCATACGCTTTTCGATATTGTAAAGGTAGATACAAACGCCGGTTGGGAGCCAGAATACGACGTGAGGGTCATCGAGGCTGCACATGACGTGCTTGTTTTGGAAAAGGCGATTGAACATGACTCGATTCCGAGCCTGGAGCCGATAAGGAGGATAAGTCCGAGAAAGACAGTGCGATGGGCGCAGAATTTGGTGGAGATACTTGGAAAGAAGAATCCCAAAGTGAAGGGGATGTGATGGCAAGCGGGAAACATGTATATTGTTATATATTAATTGTTGCCGTCTGCAGATATTAGTACTAGCATTGGACTTTCGTAGCAGTCGGGCATCAAAAGTCTGATAGCTGGCCGGATGCCCGCACTCCCCTCTGTCTTACTCCGTATGGAGTAAATCCCTAATGCCTTACGTCCTTCAATTCTTACTCGGTAGACTAGTTGTACTACTACGTAAGTAAGTACAATAATGTCTGATTCCTTAACTTTAAAACGGAGACCAGCCGTGGGATTGTCTGGGCGGTAGGGATTATGTCCGGTACTTCGACAAGTTACTAGTATACACTAAGAAACCGCATACATGGGCCTCTGGACCCGAAGTTATGCTTTTACAAGTTTCAACTGGTCCATAGGACATATCATTGTACAGTGAGGCATTGATATCAAATGGTATAGTGGCTACAGGAGGTACCTCCGTAAGTAAGCAGAAGGGGTCTTTGTTCCCGCCGGACCGCCGGGAAAAATTATACCTGCTTTATGTAAGCGAGCTCTTGGCCCTTTTTTTCATCAACCGGCGGACGCAGAGGGGCGATGGCTGAGGTATGCCGCTCATAAGGCCAGTTTGCGCCGCTCAGCCATCGCCAGTCCGCCGGTTGCATGCCATTTCGGAACTTCACCCTCCATCTAAAACCCATTCAACTAGGTTTTGAGCCGGGCGCTCCTAGCGCCCGCCTGAGTGTTGCATCTCTTTGCATTTATTTTTATTATGGTTGATTGTTTTGCCGAGTGTAGCGAGCGAGGCTCGCTTAATTGTACGCGACTTCTGTATCCGTTCTTTAAGGTAACGGCGCTTAGATTGGTACTAAGTCACTTTGCAACTTTGTAGATCCTGACTTGTCTTGCTATAAGTGGAACAGGGGCAGAGCACTCATGCTTAAAGCTTAATCATCTTAGCGTGCCCCGGTTCCGGCTCTTATAATCAATCCACTTCTGCTTTACGGGTAACTACATTACTGTAAACTATAAATCGAGATACACTGTCTCCCCCTCCTGCTGCCCCCTTTGGCCACCGCTTTGACGAAACAAATTTAACCGCTGTACTTCCGTAAGGCCCTCGGTCCATTTGATCCTGTAGAGAGTACCCTGTGTCTTGCGTTATCGTATACACTTACGAACACATGAAGCTCGATTAAGTGATATAACTAAGCTCCGTGAACAAAGATACGATCCAGGATTAATATTTTTGAGAGAGACTTTTACAGCCCGTTCGGCCGCCGGTTTGTTTATAACAAACCGATCTTCGACGGCCGCTCACAGCAGTTTGATCGAAGTTGCGATATTTGCAAGATATTTAATGGAAGCTTGGTGCAGCGTTCAGCTAGGTAGCCGAAGTCTGTAGGAGATTATTAATTCATGTAATATGTTGTAACTTAGGCTATGGGTTCACTAATAAGTCTTCTTTGCGAAGGAGCGCCCTCTTCCCCCAATCTCCATTGAAGTTCACAAATTGATGGATTCTTAACTCCGGTTAAATCATACGGTTTACCCTACTGCAGACAGTAGTACATTTCAGTAGAAACAGAGCACAGCCTTAAAGAGGATCACCTAGCAGTCAATGCAAGCGACTATTGAAACTTTCGGGGCAAAGAGGAACCGGAGAGGAGTCAGTGACTAAGCTCGGCATCTTAACCGATATTCTTGGGGCCTAAGAAACGTTGCCCGTGGTGTTTGGTATGGTTGCTGATTGATCTGTATACTCCGACTCAAGAGACAGGTCCTGATCATGCATTTATCGTTCCTCCTGTCACAAATATCACGGTCACAACAAAGGGGAACTCGGAGTAGAGAACGGCTCTCTATATTGGTAGAGACGCTTTGGGCTTTGCCTATCAAGCGTTTTCTCTGATCTGGCCAGCTGCTTGCTGGTCCAAAATAACATATTCGCCATGAAAATGCAGCTCTGAGAGAGAACCAGTAGAAAATCAAGGCCAAGCTTCGCCCTCAGCTGCGCACCTTGACCCTTGAGTCAAGGGCAAACAAACAAACTAACTAAAAAACTAGCTAAAAAGTAAGGGAAGGAGGGTGGGCTCGCAAAAATCTTTGTTGTAGAGGTCTGGTGACTTGAGGTTGTGGACCAGACGCCGTCCCACCTAATATTAAGGGGAATCGAGTCGATTCGCTTAGCTCCACCATTCACTCATAAAATATTTGTGTTTATACTCTCAAAGAAGGACGCGGGCTACAACATTCAGTGCCTTGAAAGGCTGTCAGTAAGATACAGGATAAAGGACTTTGGTCAGATTGGGCTATATTGCAGTGGTACTTTCCCAGAGCTGGGAGTCCTTAGCAGCGATCGATTGCTTGGAAGTCAATTCCCCCACCCGCCATCCCTGGCCACACTTCATGTATTCAGAATGGCCCCAATCAGGAGCGTTAGGCTTCTTTGAGCTTAGCTCATTTTTCTGACAGCTGACTTCTTCTTAGCAAGCTACTCTCAGCTGCTCCAGATCAAGAAGCTTGCTAGCTAGCTGTCATCACACCAATCAAAGCTCAAGGGCGCCTGTCAGCCAAAACTCACAAGCTCCACCCCTCTTATTTTCCAAGCAATCGAGTTTGAAGATAAACACTTCCATTGTAACACTGGCACCGCCTCAGTTGTGAGGGTTGTATTAGGGCTAGTGTTTCCATTTTCAAGACCAAGGGGCGGTCGAACTAAGCATGCATAACCAGCAACTGCTATACGAAGTCAGATTCGGTATCAGTCTTTCCGCTTCAGATCTCTTTCGAATCGATGTTTGAAAGCAACTCCGTATCATTGGAGCATATTCAAAGTTCAAAGTTAAGAGAGCGCTATGAGTTACTCGCAAATCTTACCATCAAAGACATTTGCTAACAGTTCTAAGTACGTCCACTCTGGACGTAATTTGTATTTCGTACGCAAATTGGAGCCTACAACTTGATGGGATGGGTCCAGATACGCGCTCATCGCGCGTAGCCGTACATCTGTGGAGTCCTTGCTCAGGTTGGGAAAGCCTTGGAGCAAATTGTTTTGACCCCAAGCCCTCATTGCCCACGAGATCTTGGGCCAAGTCAGTGCCGTCTTTCGCAAGTGCATTTGTGCTTTATATCAATCCAAGGAGCCAAGCAGCTGGTTCTTGGACAGTCTAAAGAGGTGCATCTTCGTAGACGTTATCAGGGAGACCGAGAAAACTAGTGCACTTTGGTTGCAATACTACTGGTCAACAACTCGCTTGAAGGTTGATAACACAATATATTCAATCTTGGAATCGCTCAGTTAGGAATGAACTGAGCTTTTCTGATAGTCTCCGTTCGAACTGTTGACCTCGGTAAGTACATAGGAGAATCAAGTTTGAAATGGCAGGACTGACACGGACGAGGTATATATCACACCTTCCCGTCCAGCTCGGAGGATGGTTGTATCAGTCCTCAGACCATTTCTCTCCAGTCCTCAAGACATTCTCTTCAGAGTCAAGACCGCTTTCAAACGCTTGAAAAACACCAGCAACCCAAAGTCAACCACGATCATATACAATGTTATCCAAGATATACATCCCAATCCACCGCATCCTCGCTATCGCCCTCTCTCTTACACCATGTGCCTCAGCACTGGTCACGACCACAACAAGACAATTCCAGCCCGCCCTCGACAACATGAAGCGACAGTCCCCCGGCACCCTCTCCGACATCCTCGGCCTGCCTATTTCAACCCTTAACATCCGAGAAACCAACCTCACTTTGGCTACATTCAATGACGAAGTTATCGATATATCGAATATCTCCCTTTTTGGGACTGTCAATGATGGCAGCTTCAACGTGAGTGCCCTCCGGGACTTCCTTCCCTCTCCGAGATCGTCTCGGGCTTCTTCAAGCCTCATTGAGCCGACCGTGAGACCTTCATCCAGTCATTTGATACAATCTGATACACGAACTGTAACCGCAATACTGATGTTGAATCCCGCCGTAGTGCACCCCCGAAGCTATAGTCCGCGCGAGGGCCGTCGACCGGTCGGTAACTAGTCCTGCCACTGCAACGGTCAACATCGGTTCCCTCACTATTACATTGCTCACGTTCGGCGACGAAGTCATAGACATCTCGGGTATTTCAATTTTCGGGGATGTGAATGATAATGGATGCGAGTAGCTGGGAGCAGATGCGGCCACAGTCGACGCTGAGATTGGTGAAGGCATGTGCAGCTTGGACTTGATAGAGTCCCACTTGGGATGAACACCATACCTTTTCCTTAGCCGTTATTTCAATGCCGGGATTTCAATTTTGTCTTGTGTATACGAGCAGGGCTTCCTCTCGCCGCCACTCATTATAGGTTCTACGCTCTTGGATACTAGTTGTTAAATGTCAGAGTCTTCACCACAAAACCATTCAACAGACTACTTGTGAGAGATGGTCAAGTCTAGATTGTTAGCATACTAGCACTATCCTAACTTCATCGTAGCTTGAACTTGCTGAAACGTCCTCCGCTGGACTGACATCGCCGCCGCAGCCTCATATCCGCAAATTTAATGTCGTGCTCAGTGAGAGCGATCGGGCCGACCCGCTACGGCCCGCTACGACCCGCTACGGCCCGCTAAGGCTGATGTGGTCTATATAAGCCAAGAATATATAAGATTAGTAGTAGTAGTATTGATTTACGTAGTACGTCGCACGGGTATCCAAAACGCAATGCTTGGACCCTGGGGACCTCCTATAGGGTACGGCGATGCTAAGTAGAGGAAGTATATATAAAGTATTATTTAAACGAAAGTAAAAACTACTTGAAGGGAAAGCTTTTTTTAAAAATAGCATCGAGGTGTTGATCTCGCGGTATCGCAAACTCTTTATAAACTTTGTAAAAGCATTTTATAATGATGTGCGCCGAGCTTTTTCTCGTTAATTATTAAATACGTATAGCTTTATAGCGAACCCCCATCCGTATAAGTATAAACATCGTTTTAGTTATCGTAAAGCTGTAAAGGCTCGCGTTCGTAGCCTTTATGTAAGAGCCGGTATATTTGCAGACCGCTTTTTCAAAAGCGCAATATCGTGTTTTCGACTAGTCGAACTAAGCCGTTCCCATCTTATCTTTTATACCCGTTCCCTTTCTATGGTAAATCTTTTTAGTTTTTTTTCAGTCGATATGCCCGTCAAGTATATAGATCGTAGTCGGCGTGGTGTTCGAAAAGAGAGAGAAGGGAGGTTCGAAACCGCCGGTAAGAGAAGATCTTTCCGAGGAGACGTCGCATATCGATGATTTAATTTCGGCTCTCCAGACTCTCTGCCATAAGAAAGATCTGAAGGTTCGTAAGAGACACCTCGTACAGGTAAAGAGTCATAGCCTTCTCCAAGAATATGTAAGAGGCAGCGAGAAGGGAATTGGAATAGAAACACCCAGGATTAGCCAGCTTGGACGTACTCCAACTTTCACCACTTGACTGAATTCTCTCAGAATTTGACTTTAATATTTCGGCTGAGAGTCGTCCAGCGTTTGAAATCCAAGGATTAAATCCTTGGACCCGAGGGCCTGGATCCTCCATACAGGACCGTATAATCTTACTCAGCTGGTGGTCCAGCACTGGTCTGTAAACAAAGCCCCAGAAATGCTCTCGGAGGCCTTTTCTATGCTCTCGACCTCCAGATTGATTATGGCAAAATGGCCGATCATTGAGTCATTGCGGCAGCTTGATAAGCTTCCATTTTTTTCAAACTTTACACTTTTATCTATTTACATTGATGCTTCAGTTCCCCTCTTTTATAGCTTTGCAACGAGTCTCACCGTGTCAAAGCTTAGCGGGTTAGAGTGCGGAATTTGTGAGCGGATAAATCTATGTTACATATTAAATTAAGGATTTATATAGTCAATCCTTCTAATTACCAACCATATGCAGAGATTGTAATTCTAGAGTTGGATCTCGTACACTGTAGCCTAAAGTGACAGATTCTGGCAATTCAAAGAGTTTTAAATACGGAACTTTGTTCATAGCAGTTTCAAATTAAGATCTTCTAAACGCGAGACGACACTTTCACTCTCCGTATGTTGGTCATGTCTGAGCAGCTTGAGTTCGCGCTCTCGGCCACGTGAATGGATTTACTGAGCTTTTGGGTAAAAAGATTAGTATGCTTTGTATATGTTGATAGAGATTACCAGAGATCATGGTTTCCAGAGCGGGGCATCATCATCCGGACAGGAAAGACCGTACCGGGCAATCAACATGTTTACATTCTGCTTGTCTTCCGTCGGTCGCCGGAGGTTTACATGCAAGGAAAAGGCAGAGAAAAATAGTAGTGCTTTCCTGCCATTAATTGAACTTGTGAATTCGGGATGAAGTGAATTAGAAACTAAGCAGAGAACCGTGATGAGAAAATGCAATGAACACTTGCGCATGACTTGGCACTGTAATCAAACCTCCTTATTCGGTGAAAATATAAGAGACTTATCGATATAATAAGTTTATGCTCGAACTTCCCGTATTTAGGTCTCAATTACCAATCCAATACTATCTGCTCAATGTGTTGAAGACTTTACGGTACTACTCTGATACTCAACTATCGGGACAACCGTTAGCCACGGGTAAGCTGCTCTATGGTCAAATAAAGGCACATTATACAAGTGAGATAAGGTGACTATCCACTAATGCTCCAGAATATACGATGACATTCACCCCAGCTTGCAAAGGTTCTGGGGAGCTAAGTCTTGGCATATCGCTTAGCAGTCAACAAACGACCCGCTCGGCATCTTAATGATATCGACTTCAACTTCTCCTTTCCTCGCAACACCAAGCCGATCAAAAAATTAGTTCGGAATCATGACTATTGAGTACCTCTGCAAGCCGGTACCGGCCAGGATGTCAGAACACAGCTGCATCTGCATGGATTGTGCACGAGGCAATCCCGCATCAGAATGCGACCGCTGCTACCGCATCCACAAGCATACCGGCGAGGTCAACCAAATGTAAGTTAAGCATGCCCCGGTAAATAAATCAATAACTGAAGAGTCGTTACTGACGAAGCGGAGGGACAGCCTGGCTCGCTGCCCCGAGATCGCCACCCTCCTCGTCGGTCCGAACGAAACCAAGCTCACCTGCCACAAGGCCTTGCTGGGATTCTACTCCAACGTGTTCGAGGCTTACATCTATACGGGCTCGCACAGCAGCCGCCATGAGAAAGACGAGGAGCACGCGGTCAAACTGTCGCTCGAGCGACCCGAAGCAATCGCGGTGTTCCTGACCTGGCTCTATTCCGGCCAGCTGGAGTGCGATATCAGCGGCGAAGAGCTATGGGCATTGGGCGACCGTCTCCGCAGCCCACTTTTCTGCAACGAAGTCATGGTAAGTAGAATGGAGGCTCCG